CAGCTTCTGACAATTATTTGGTGACAGAGTTGGCACATCTGCCCGCCCAGTAGGTACACCAGTAAATTATTGCACAGAAGTGAATTATGGTGTCTTAGAAATATTTTAATGGTCAAAACTTGCCACATATTACTATTCTACTTTCCAAAAAGCTCCATTTTAAAAAATCTAGCATGCAAATGGGAAAAGGCTACTTTCTCTTTCATAGCAAGAAGTGGGTATTTTTGTTAATTTCTCTAGTTAATTTCTGCCCAACACATGATTCTCCCAAAGCAGGAAAGGGATATGAATAGCAGGTAATCAACAACTACTAAACACAACCTCACTCCACCAAATACTGTATAGTTCAATACATACTTCTTATCAAATGAGTGAACATTAAAAATAACAAAATAATGAAAACTTGGCTATAGACAAATAAATATGATTTTATTTAAATTTTCTTAAATTTAAAAGTTATTCAAAACTTTTGTTGACTACATGGTAAGCTTTGAGTTTTTTTAGTGTCTTCAATTGCAATGTAGAAAACACATAGAACTGATTATGTATATGTTAGTATAGATGCACATATATGCATATGAATGTGCGTCATATATATGAAATCACATAAACTAGTAGGAAGGGCGATCACTTGTAGGCCAGGGCTATAGAATACTTTGTGACATTAGTTCTTGGGATTTTTCTCATCTTTAAAATGCAAAGTTTCAGTGACATAAAATATTTACTTTGGACTTCAATAGTCTACGATTCCTAGTGAGTGAGTGAATGAGTATGTGTTGTATGTTTATAAGGTATGGATGGAGGAACTATCCAAATCCAAAACTCCCTTAGAATTCATAATAGACTTTATTTGGTTTTTATCTACTCAGATTTTTTTTTTTTGCTAGTGCATCCTCTGTCCTTGAGTACTGATTTTTCTTTGCTCCACACAACTGGTTCTTGTGAGATTCAATAATACCACATACCAGTGTGCAGGAGACTCAAGCCTAGCTATAGTGCACTATCATTCCTAGCTATTGGGCTTGGTTCAGGAGGAAGGCATGTTACCTAAGCAGGTTATCCAAACCTTTACTAGCATTATTTGTATTAAAGTCAGGAGGAGGATCTCACCTCCCTCTGAAACTGCAAAATGCACTATGACCTCATTTGCACTCTGGAATCCTGTGATATGGGGGAAACTTTCTGAACCAAACAGAGAATGTGGCCATAATCCAAAGGCTAAAGGAAAGAAGAGGGGTCCTGATTACATTGTCAGAGTCTAGCCCCTCCCTCTCAGTTAGGTGCACCAGTATTTCCTCTTTTTGGCTTAAGCTAGATTAAAATGGATTTCATTTGCTTATAGAGAATGGCTCTTTCTAGCCCTATATCTCATGGTGCAAGCTGATTGTAAATTATAATTTAGTTTAATAGCCTCTAATTGACATGGTAGTTGAGTTCTTAATCAGTGTATGGGTCTTGACACTTCCCTTGGAATGGCAGCTCTAGCTGACAGGACCAAGTAGGAGTTGAACACTTGCAATTAAACCCATAAAAAATAGTTCACTGGCATTATCTCTGAACATGTGAAATTACATATTAATCAACTACTATTTTACTTGCACTTAGTAGGTGTTCAATGAAGATTTGTAACCCTGGTAAGAAATTTTTAAGATAATATAAAAAAGAAGATAGTCTCTTCTCCAATAGCTATTTAAATAGAATTGTATCACTAATTTTTATCTTAGCCTGAAACTTTACTATTTGAGTTTGACAATAGGGAAAACTGATGTTTTCTCTGGACCTTTAAAACCAAAGATGCTATCTAAATTCTTCATCATTTCAGAATTTGTCAGTGTATGTGTCTGGCTTGAGGACAGAATGTGTAACTCCCTGTCCACAATAATTTTGTTTTCCTATTTCATTAATATTCACTTTTTAGAAATTGTTTAGACTCTTGTAGCATAGTGTTATAAAGTTTGAGTAATATACAAAATATATTCAATCCCATTATAATGTCATATCTATATTTATATAATCATATATACATATACAAATATGTAGTTCATGGATATATTGGACATAAAGAGATGAGGAGATAACAAAATAAAATTGAAATTGAGGACTTTGAAATATCACATTTTAAAACATATAGAACATATTCTATAAACTTCTTCTTCACAAACTGATTATCCTATATCCTATCCCTACCCCAGTGAACATCTGACACCTCAAAGAAGATATTCTGTGGCAAAAATTCGACTGCAATCAGAAATTACTCATTTTTCTCATGAATCTGATGTTGACAGACTCTTCCTTTGATTTGGACTATCACAATCCCAGTGGGTTAGTAAAAATGTGAATTCTATAGGAGAATTTAGAGAGTCTGCTCAGGGCCATTCTGTACGCAGGGAAGTACAGAATCTCTTCTGTGTCTCTCCCATTTCATAGGGGCATTCCATTCCACCCCCATGGATTCCCCTTCCTCTCTTCAGCCAGCTAATCCTGAGCTGGGGCTTAGTGCTAAAGTCTTGTGTCACTTCCAACTTCCAGTACCCATATTTATGTTCCTTGATTACAACAAGCTGCTTCTTTTAGGTTCCACTAGGGCCAAAGAAATTTCCTTGGACAGAATTATAAGGTCCACACATCTCTTTTTACATCTCCTCTGTTCACTCAGCGTTGCCATCTTTGGTATGGCCATGTAATGCTCTTGCCTCTGTTAGTCACTAATAGTATATAAACAGCTTACAGTCACCCTTCCACTGGATATTGTCATTTTAGAAGGAATGTCTTCCCATGATTCAAAGAAATGGATATCTAACCCCAGGGCTTGAAGCCCCACCACAGGGAGACTTCATGCTTGTTAGAGGAATATTTGGGGAACATGGAAAAAAAAAGAGTAATGTAAGTTTATCTGAGCTTATCCAACTGTAATCAGACGTGGGTTTTCCATCAATGACAATCCATTGCCAAACTGAAAATCTTGATTGAGCATTTCATTAATCTCCCAGCCTCCTAACATTCCCATGGTTATTGTCATTTTATAAGCTGGGATTTGGATTTGTTTTGGACTTTTCTCTCCCTTTTGGAGGGGCTGGGGGGTTGTGTAAGTGCATAGGAGAAAAGTTCCTGGCTCCAGCTGACAAGCCCAGCGTGCAGAACTGCTTCTGAGACTGGGGGGAGAAAGTGCTGGTAGGTATTTCAGGCCATAGCTCTCCCAAAGATCTCCCCACATGGCTTGCTTAGCTTTTACTTTCATTTTGTATTAAACAAAAAGTCATTTGAGGGCTATTTAATGCTCTGGTTTGTGTTTTCCAATACCAGATAAAAGTTAAACAGATGAACCATTTGGGGGGTAAGGATTGGGAAATCCACGGCTGCTAAAATGCTTTAAAGTTCCAAAATGGTTTTGTTTTTTTAAACCCATTTTCCATGTTCCAGCAGCTGTGGGTTTTCCCAGGGCTCCCCCTGTGGCTCAAAAGGGAGCTGCTTAATGCTTAACAGATGAGCCAATTGAGTTTTTAAATGCAAAATTAAACTTAAAGTGTACAAAGAGCACAAGGGAATCCACAGCCAAGAATAGACTGGAAGAGAATGAGCAGAGAGCTGGGCTTGGAGACACAGCCTCCTCTGCTGCAACCAGGAGCTCTGGGCGCAGAGTCTGGGCACATGGATCTTTTGATCATTCCTGCAGTTAAACTCTTCATTGCTAAAAGTTTTTCCCTAACTAGTGGTTTTAGACTTATTTATGTGTCCATTTTTCTTTAAGAATAAGAGGGAAGGGGAAGCGGATGGGCTCTTAGAACATCAGAACACATGTGTAGGGACCACCATTAGTATGTTCTCTCTCGGTAATGGAGAGAGTCACATTTCCCCCCTGCGTCCCTAGGTGCCTGACTTCCTGTGCCCAAGACACTCTTGGTTGATCTAGGTTCTCAGAACATCTGCTTTAAAGATGAGGAGTTAGGTTGAATGTCAGCTTTGATTGGGACACTCTTTAAAGCACTGGATAAACTGCTTATTCATACATCTCAATATCTAAACAAGAGGAATCATTGGATTTGGGTGCTTAAAAATAAGACCTAGAAAAAAGTTTTGTCCAACTTTGTCGAAAGTTCTGAATCAAAATAAGCTAAGCTAATAAGCCAAGCTAATATTTCTCAAAAGAAAAGTTTCCCTTTTAATTGCATAAATGTGTTTATTTAAGAGGTGCCCCCATACCATCAAGCCTAAAATATAATAAATGCACTTTCTTTTCTTTTTTTTTTTTTTTGAAAATAAAATTAATGGTCAGATTCTAAATCATGAAAATCTGTTTGGGAGTAGATCTTTTGATTTAAACAAGTTTCACATGGCAATTTGTATGTCAGCTTTTCAGGTTGGGGTACAACCCAAAAAGTATCATCAGACTCACACAAACTCCCAAATTTCTGTACAATACATACTGGTAACATCAAATATTTAGCGTTTGGGGAGTATACAATCCTTGCCTATCACACTTGAGGAACATTAGAATACATGACATGGTGTTACAAAAGTACGATTTCATTGGAAAACTTCTGTCTTCCAGATGTGGCATTTATTTCCAGCTTTTAAGTTGGAAAACACTAAAAATTCTTTAATAGCTTACTTTGGGAGAAATCATTTCAAGGTCTAGTAACCAAAAAATGCCATTAATAGACCAACAAAAATATTTCGTTAGAATACCAAGAATAGGTTGCTAGAAAGCTTTAGGTTCACATTTGACATGTTATTAAGTCCAGCAATAACTAGTGAAAGCCTAAGTTTAAATGAGGTTACAAAGGTACACACTTATATACATACATGCATGTACCTTTCTAAAGTTACCTATGCGATTACAATTCCCATTCCTCAGGCATTTTTACCTTTTTCAGATTCTCCAAATCAATCCTATTTTAATGTTGGAAAACTAATATGACCCAGTTGCAGCCCTCCTACCCCCGCCCCCCGCAAGATAAACAAACAACCTTCCCATATAAATCAATAAACTAACACAGATACTATTATTTGGAATTCTCTACCTACATTCTGATACTTGCCTACACTTAATTGTTTAATGGAACAATTATTTTACCTTAATTATTTAAACTATTGATTTATAAATAGCAATTTGTGAAAACTGGGTTGGGGATGGATGCATATTCCTAGTCTGACTGTGTGACTGTGTATTCGAGACTTGTACCTCATCGATAGTTGAATCCACTGTAGTCATTGACTAGATCCAGTATTGTCAGTTTGCCTGAAGGAAAGATGCTGATGAGGTTGGGCTCCTGTAGAAGCAATCATATGGTTAATTGCTTTAGTGTGAACCTAGCCATTGTGATTAAAGCCCGAGACTGTTTAGGTAGAGCAGAGCTCCAGAGCTTCCAGGCACTCCTGGGCAGATCTAGTACTCTCCAGGCCTTGAGAAAACACACTGAGGCACGAGCAGATCTCCCTGAGGAGTTGCAGTGTCTGGGGGATCATTCAATCATTAGATCATATTCAAAGAAACTGGGTTAATTTGAATATGAAATCATTGGATCACATATTCATATATATGCAACCTCTTTGAAAGGGTGATCATCAGAATGCAGATTTGAATAAACAAGAACATATTCAAAGCCCGACATGTTATGTGCTTGAGTTTAATGCTAATCTGTGCTCAGTCCCAAAGGATTGTATACCTGTCATCTAGTGCTGCCTGGATACTGCTACTGGTACGCTTTTCAAGGACATGAATTAAAAAGACAATCTGCTCCACTTTTGAATAAAATGCTATGACTTTTTTTAATTCCAAATTTTGTTATTACATACAATTTGGTGAGCAATATATTGACCACTTTTAAAAATATACTCATAGGTCAATGTACATGTGTATATGGGAATATATATACATATTAAATTGAACACACAAAACTTTCAAAACTTTAACCTTTTTTAAAAATAAAATTAAATAGAAAAAAAGTAAAAATGTTTCTTCTCCAGTGAAATGTTGTCTTTAGAGCTCATTCAATTGTTATGAGGAGATTCTAAATCATTAATCAAGTAGAGCACTATCCTTAAAAAAAAAAAAAATTACCCAACATACTTTTGGGACTTTCACAAGTAGAGGCTACCATGCATTGATGCATAAAGAAACAGCTATCCATGTTCCAGTAATTCAAATCCAACATCATTTTGACGAGATTTTTAATATACTCATGGGAGCAACACAGGAGTAATTGATGACGAGCTCAAATTACTTGCATGTTATTTATCTTAACATCTATCCCATAATCTATTATTACATTATAGGCAATAATATCATCCTGTCAGTCGTACAAACAGTGGAATTTTATTAATTTAATTATACTTATTGCTCCTCAATAACCCCTTAAAATTGACCCCTGTATATATAAAACATTTTAGAAAACTTCCTTAGAAACGGATGCAGTTATAAGATTTACCATTCTAAGAAATGTTAACAGAAAGGGGTTCCTATTATGGCATTTTTGCATTGTCCACCAAGAGTTTGCCTTCATTTTCAGAGAAGATCTCAGAATAAACAGCAGAGGCATCACATACGAAGCTGGAAGCCTAGAAGCCACGTTGGGCACATACATTTTCTTTGGGAAAATACTAACACAAAGCATACGACCTCGAGTGCCTCATTTCAGAAATGGAATCTATTCTTTCTCTTTTCAGACCTGGTTGACTTAGTAATTCTTAGCACTGTCAAAATTTGCTCATAAAAAAGGTTACATATTAAAATGCAATGCAAAGCAATAGAAAAACGACCTCCATTCCCTAATGCCAAAATCAAATATGCAAATATTAAAATGAGGGGGCTCTGCTTCTTTCCCCCTCATACAACTGATTAAATTGTCACTGCTGGAGATTACATGGGGTTTTATTCCCTTTACAGCCATATTCAATTGGACAGACAGAAAAATATATTGCCACAGACGAGACCCACCACCTGGGTACACTGTGCTTCCAGTTGCCTGCAGAGGTCTTGTCCAAAACTTTGCAGCTACCCCTTTAAAAAAGGAAAAGTATTAGATGTGATCATTCATGACAGAGTAGATGGTCTCTAAAGTCCTTTCCAACTTGGATATTCCGGTAAGACAAAAGCCCCTCCTCCACTTCTAGATATTAGTCTATGATTGACTTCCTATGTAACACTCCTTTTTATATGTATCCTAAAAAAATACATTTCATTCCTGGTGCATAAGACTTTCATTTAAAAATAAAGAGATCTATCATCTGTCTAACTTCCTCCTAGCTCAGAGGCTCTTTTCTTTCTGTGTTTGCACTTTATTTGTAGCTGATTGGTGAATTTATCTCCTGGTTTATCAGTTTTTTACAGAAAACACACACCCCACCCTCCTTTGCTCTGTTGGATAGATTTGATTTTTGCAAAAATTGGATATAGAAACGGATGAATTACCTTCGCCTCTCTCACGCCTTGCTGCGGTTCTGAAATGGTTTTCACTGTCTGCCTCCGAGTCACAGAAGTTAGTGCTCAGTGACGATGTCGCTTGCCTGTGTCACTCTGCACTGCAGGCTGAGCAGAGAGCTGCCTCCAGCTGCAGGCGAGTGGCCTCAGCGTTAAGGAGGCACGGAACCAGATGGTTCCTGAGACCTTTTCTATTTCAAAGAGATGGAGCTATGAGCAGAGGGATGTGGTAACAGCTAGGGAAGGTGGAGAATGGTGGTTTTTGAATTGGAGCAATCGGGGAAAAATAACAACAAGAAAAACAAATAGTAAACAGCAGCTGCTTCATTTCAATGACGAGTGAATAGGAAGGAGTCTCCGTGCCTTAAGATTTGAAGGGGACATGCACGTGTTACTCTTATAGAAGAGAAGGCATTGATCCCCCCAAAGGATGTTTAGTGACTCCTGTGTGTGGCCGGGGCTCTTTTGGTTGTTCTCAGCAAAATGACGCTTGTGATTGTTTGACTAGATGAGCTATCTACCGTATCTGTTGACATAACCGCAGTGTGAACATTTACCTTCTCTGATTGGGTAGATGAGGAAACAATCCAATTTCTCATTTCTATTATCCAGATGGGGAAGTTAAAAGGAAAGGACAGCACGTGGTCTATCCATGTCAAAACCCCCAAGTTCTTTGCCTTTGGAAACAGACACATATATTATACTTAAATAAAGCATCCAGTTTCAACCTGAGAATTTTAGAAATCATTGCTTTCAAACGTGTGTGCCCTTTTCTCTATTCAAATATCCTTTTGCTGTCAGAATTGAAAGCACAGTTGTGTGTGTTCTACTGGCTTGAACAAATGTATGCTCCAACCCTTTATTGTCTGTTTGGGTTTGCTTTTGTCTGTCTTTCCCATGTTTCTTTGTTTTCCTTTTGTCTTCTTCTCAAGACTTCCCAGGGTTTTTGTTTTACCATATTGTTCTTTTTTTGCATTGTTCAACGGCTCTAAGACAATTTAATCTAATTTGCTTGGTCTTATTTCATTTCTCCCATAGTTTTCATAATGTTGCTTTTATTTTTTTCATCCTTTGCTGGGGCACTTTGTTTATTTATGAAAACATAATTCCAAAAGTCAAAATAGTACTACACCGACACATTTTTTCAGCTGGGTATCCTTATCTTTTATTATTTGGACTTGTTGACTCCTTTTCCCAATCCTGACCATTTTTAATCATTGTTTGTCTATTGTATTACTTTTTTCCATTTCTAAAGGCCTTCTTTTGCATTCTTCCCCTGACATCCTGATTTTGTGGCATCTGGTCATCATTACAATGTGGCCACCATTTATTCAACCTTTAGAATAAGTACTGGGTTCAATGTTTCCTGTATATTTTATTAAACTCTTATTGCAGTCATGAAAGGTAGACATTCTCATTCTTGTTTGACACAGGGGAGGGCAGAAGGCCCAATGATTAAGGTACTGCCTTAAGGCTACACAATAACTGTGATAGTGAGGATTTGTTCCCAGAGCCATCTGGTACCAAATCATCTCCTCTTTCAAACAGACCACATGAAGGCCAGAAATCAAAATTTTTAGGATTTTTAGGTTTTGAAATTTGTTTTGAACTGAGGGTGTAGTTCAGTGGTAGAGTGCTTGCCTAGCATGTTTTAGGTCCTGGGTTTGATCCACAGCGTTGGAGAGAGAGAGAGAGAGAGAGAGAGAGAGAGAGAGAGAGAGAGAGAGAGAGAGGTTTGTTATGCATAGGGGAAAAATATGCTCTCTTGCTAAACTTCATAAATACACACTCATTATTACCATGCACTTGTACTTGAAATGACTAAATAGGAATGAATTTTAAATCTTCCTTTTGATCATAGATACAAGAGTTAGTTTTATTTGTGATTTAAGAAGACATTGTAAAGTCAATTTTATTTTCAATAAAATTTGAGGCTGAAAGTCAGCCAGTCATTCTTTGCATACAGGCCAATCTGTGAATAAGGTTACAAATGTAAACAAACTGTAAGAGCAATTTCCAGCTAGTATAAAAATAAGAAATGGCCACTCCAGAATTCTGAAGAGACTATGCTTTCTGCAAACCTCAAAGCATTATGTCAGCCTTCCCAGGAATGACATCAGTGAGGAGATATGTTTTTACAGTTGTCAAAGTTGGGATCAGACATCTAATCCCAGTCTGCTTGCAGCTGCTTTTCCTTACCCGTCCCTCCCTGTATGAATTTGCCTTCTGGGAGAGTAAGAAAATTATGTGTCCCCTATGTTCTTGTTCAGATCTAGAAGCCAGATCATGACAAGCAGGTGTCATTCTCTAAACAGGTTGCTTTGCAAATTCTGACTACTCAGGGTTCATTCATTATCACCTTTGCCATCTATTCTTGTGGTGACATTACACACACATGCACACCCATTTAGTTTTAAGAAGCACTTCTGTTTGATAGACTATTAGAAGGTTCTAAAATGGCTGCAGCTATTTCCATAAAAAATGTGGTATTTCTAGACTTAGGACAAGAGCTTAACCAAATTCTCTTGGATGGATTGCAGCCCTGAAAGCTGTACTTATAGTAGGCTGCAATTGATGCTCATGTATAGTCTTCCCCTAGGAACTGCAGAAGGACAAAATTCGCCTCTAGCAGGCCTAAGGAGCAGGAGTGCTTTGGCCACTAGTAAGGCTAATAGTAATGCCACGGTGGAGAGGAGACTGAGGAGTAAGGAAAACTTGACTTCAAATCTCACTTCTATCATTTGCCACATTTGGGACTTGGGCAAGTTTATCTCATTCTTCTAAACTTGTTTCTTCTTCTGTAAAATGGAGGAAATAGTGCCTAATTCAAAGGTCTACTGGGAAAATGTAATCAGGTAATCAATGATTCAATCATTCAGGTCAGAATTTTTTAATTAGAAAGGCAAGTAGTAAACACAATTGTCATCTTCACCATCATCACTATTATCATCTGTGCAGTAAGTAAAAATTGATTTCTCTCTTTTTTCTTTTGACACAATATCCTGAGCTATGGGAGACCTTTCATATGCAGCGTATGAAGAGCATCTGAAGTCCCAGTTTTTGTTTTTTTTTTTTTTTTTGGTGTTGTTGCTGTTGTTCAAAGATTATAACTTCATTATGTACCACTCCCCTAACAACTCCAAGGTCAAGATTAAATGTGCACTAAGCATAGTCTAGCCAGCCCTTCAGCATATACAGCACTTGGAATTTTTGTCTATTGAGAAGTATTTAATAGTACAAACCATAAAACAGCTCTCTCTTTACTACATCAATCTTTTCTGGTATTGTGTTTTCTTAACAGAAATTACCAGGGCTAAACCTCATGCTTGGCACATAGAAGGTGTTCAATAAACTACTTCTAAAATTAACTGAACTGAAATGATATAATTTATCTGCTTAATAAAGACCATAAATTCATTAAGGATATATTTCTTTCATGTGTCCATCTATACACACATGCTTTCCTTTATTCAATAAGCACTTATTATTGTGTACACTACGCTGGGCACTGTGCCATAATGAGCTACACCAGGGCAGAGGTCATTCTTTCCCTTACATCTGTATCCTCAGTACTTAGCTTATTACATGGCATACAAAGCTGCTTAAGAAATATTTAATGGATAAATCAATTAAATTCTGGTTTTGGTTGGATGGCCTTTCAGGATATATATATAGGTGCCGCAGTCTGGCTGGGCACAAATCACGAGCCACTCAGCATATAGGAATAGCCTAGAGAACGGCATGATGAAAATAAAAACAACCAAACAATCAAGGATACAATTGAAGTAAGATCCACCTTTCCCAATTGCTTCCTAGGCTAAAAGTGAGCAGATCTGGACAATTTGCCTCTAGGTTTCACTGCTGTGAACCAATGCATTTCAATTGGGCGTGTCAGAATTTCCTAACTACAGTTTTCCAATTCAACAATTTTCCCTTGGCATAATTTTTAAAAGGCTAGTAGGTGAAAAATGGTGATAGTAATAATCAATGTTAATAAATACACAATCTTATAATTATATGATAATTGGCAACTAGGATTATTGGGAGGAGGAAAGGATCAAGGTATATGGGTTTTATCCCAAGTTCTGCACTAAGAGAGAAATAGTGGTCTGTTAAGTGGGATCTGTAGAAGGTGATTGTTTAAAGACTAGAAATCAGATTATTGCTCTAATTTTTTTTACAAAGAAATAACTAAGGCCTGGAAGAGGTTTAAAGACCAAATCTAAGGTCACTTGGAGTCCTGGTCTCTGATGTCTCTAAGAAAACAAATGATCTCACTACATCACAATATCACAAGACCTGTTAGTGTAAATGCTAACATGAATAATTCCACAGATAACTATATTTTAAATCAACTGTAAGACTTCCCAATACTAACAAAAACCAGAAAATGTGTAATAAAATATTCAAAGTGCTATTGGCGGTGTTTTCTGTAAAAAAAAAAAAAAAGATTTCAAAATAATAGAAACTTCAGTTGTTCAAGCATAATGTACTTCTATTCAATTAAGCCCCTAAATCCAGATTAAGACCAGAGCTGGTTCCAATGAGCATGTCTTTTTTTTTTCTCTTTCCCAGCCATTCATATTGAATTTTAAATTCATGTTAGCAACTGCCTTTACAATCCAGGGAAAAAAAGAAAGAGGGTTAGGGATAGTTCTGAAAAAGTTTCTGAATGAAGGATTGCAATTTACACTTGAAAAATGAACTTTTGGAGGGTTCTATATCTCACACACCATACAGACTTGTTTACAAGTAATAATTTGAAAACATTTTTAAAACACACAATTGGAAAATTGTGAGTGACCCTTTCCAAGCAACCATTCAAACCATGACAAAAGAAAGGGATGATCAGCTCTAGAGGAGATTTGTTCATCTGTAATTGAAAGGCATAGGTTTTTGGAGGCCACGGATTTATAATCTTGCTTTATGAAAGAAACAAGGGGCAATTATGCAAATTTCACAGGAAGTTACTACTTTGGGATAAGCTATAATTAAACATTCATTCCAAACGATATTGTCTTCATGCTGCTGTTTGGCTAGGTGGCATAAATATTCTTTGGAAATGAATTTATCTGTTTAATCTTTACACACAGAACAGTGAAGGGTGACCCTAGAGAACTAGGATCAAGGCTTTTGGCATGAATGAATATAAGAATGTGCAATTATTTCTTTCAGATCTATAAAAACATTCTTGCTGTTAACAAATATAAATGTAACATTTACTAGGAAATAAGAGACTGCAGACGGAAATAAACAAACCTAGGATGTGGTTCATCTAAGTAA